ACTGATGTTGCAGTACAGGAGGTGATAGATCAGTATGTTGAGGTGTTTGCTGAGCCTAAATCCCTACCACCTGTGAGATCATTAGATCATGCCATTCCACTAAAGCTTGGGGCTATGCCAGTTAGTCTGAGACCCTATAGATATAATTACAACCAGAAAAGATGAGTTGGAGAAACAAGTAAAAGAGAATGCTCACCAGTGGACTTATTCAGCCTAGTCAATCTCCATTCTCTTCACCAGCCTTACTAGTCAAGAAGAAAGACGGTACTTGGAGATTCTGTGTTGATTATAGGGGCCTTAATGACATCACTATTAAGGATAAGTACCCTATTCCTATAGTGGATGATCTCTTAAATGAGTTGTGTGGTGCAGTCATTTTCTCCAAGGTCGATCTCCGGGCAGGCTACCATCAAATAAGGATGAAAAGGGAGGATGTGTTCAAAACTGCTTTCAGGACTCATGCAGGACATTATGAGTTTAAGGTAATGCCATTTGGCCTTACCAATGCCCCAGCTACTTTCCAAGCCCTTATGAACCAGGTTTTCCAACCTTTTTTGCGAAAGTTTGTCTTGGTATTCTTTGATGATATACTTGTATATAGCCTTACAGTAAATGATCATGTGCAACACTTGAGAGTTGTGTTTGAGACCCTCAAGAACCATTCACTCTATGCTAAGAGATCAAAGTGTTCGTTTGGCCAATCACAAGTGGAGTACTTGGGGCATGTTATTACCAAGGAAGGTGTAGCTACTGATCCTCACAAAATTAAAGCCATGGTTGAGTGGCCTAGACCAAAAACACTCAAAGCTCTCAGAGGATTCCTTGGTCTTACTGGCTACTACAGAAAGTATGTTGTTCATTATGGTACTATCAGCAGGCCCCTCACTGATTTGCTAAAGAAGGATGCCTTCAAATGGAATCCAGAGGCTGAACTAGCATTTGCAGCCCTTAAAACAGCTATGAGCACCACACCTGTGCTTGCACTTCCTGACTATTCACAGGAGTTTGTTGTTGAAACTGATGCCAGCCACGGCGGTATTGGTGCAGTACTTATGCAAAAGGGAAGACCAATTGCTTACTTTAGTAAGGTGTTAGTACCCAAGCACAGAGGCAAGTCAATTTATGAGAAGGAGTACATGGCCTTGCTAAGTGCCGTGGACAAGTGGAGACACTATCTCCAGTTCAAGCATTTTGTTGTGAGGACTGACCACCACAACTTAAAGTATTTACTGAAACAAAAGGTAACCTCGGCTATTCAGCAGAAAGGTTTAACCAAGCTGTTGGGACTTGATTACGAGGTTCAATACAAAAGAGGTGCAGAAAATAGAGTTGCTGATGCCTTGTCAAGGCAGCAAGAAGGGCTAGATCCTTTGGATGATCAAGCTACGGGGAAATTGATGGCTATAAGCAGCTGCACTCCAACTTGGATACAAGAGATTATTGGGAGCTATCAAGAGGATGCTCATGTCCATGACATTCTTACACTACTGTCAGTAGACTCTCATGGGCCCAGTTTATGGCACTATTCAGCTGGAATACTAAAGAAGAAGGGCAAGGTATATGTGGGATCTCATGGAACACTCAGGCAACAACTCATTTCCTCTTTCCATGACACTCCCCTTGGTGGTCATTCTGGTCAGTTAGGTACATTGAAAAGGCTATCAATACTTTTCTATTGGCCAAAGATGAAATTTATGGTGAATAATTATGTGTCGAGTTGTGATGTATGCCATAGGAATAATGATGATAATGCAGCATATCCAGGGTTGTTGCAACCCCTACCTGTTCAAAATCAAGCATGGTGCCACATCAGCATGGACTTTGTGGAAGGTCTTCCCAAGTTTAAGTCGAAAGATGTCATATTAGTGGTGATTGACAGATTTACTAAGTATGCCCACTTCATAGCACTATCGCATCCCTATACCGCAGCTACTGTTGCTTCCATATTTTGGAAGAGGATATATAGCCTACATGGCACTCCTGAGTCTATTGTGACGGATAGGGACAAGGTGTTCGTGAGTAACTTTTGGAGAGCTTTATTTAACTTACTCGGCATTCAACTCCATTATAGCTCTGCCTATCACCCACAAAGTGATGGCCAAACAGAAAGGGTTAACAGATGTTTGGAAAACTACTTAAGATGCATGGTGGCAAGCAGACCTAA